CATGTCGTATTACAATTAATACGTAATCAGTTTTTGTGTGTACGACCACAAACATTATCTGTTTCTTTTTCTTTTTGTGTCATAGCGGTGGTGTGCAATAAAAAACAATTAAGTGCATTCAAATACAACAACATGTGAGTGAGTCAAAGCTTTAGAATGTGGTTAATCTGCTGTGTGCATTTCTTGAGCAAGTGTTAAGACGTACTAGATTGGTATGCATGCACAAATGCAAGTGTGTGACAGAGAGAGACACAAGGAAAATAAGTGAGTAAACTTGTTACATCATGCCATTTGCCCGCTCATATTTCCTTTTTTTCTTTCTTTCAGTCTCCCTCTCGTTTTTTTCTGTATCACATGGTTGCCAAATGTGCACTAACACTCCTTTGCATGTTTAGACACGCTAGTTTACACACCATACAGCAGATCCCTACAGTAGAAATGATTTACTGCTCACATTGTGTGCTTTGTCTTAAATACACCAAACATACATTATTTTTCGCCTCGTCACACTGCTCATAAAATGCGCAACCTTATGCGCTTTCCACTCTGAATGTTAAGCAATTTTACGGTGGCTTGGTCGCCTAATGGGAAAAGTTTGACAAAGTCATTTTCTCCTCTCATTTCTTCTTTCCTTCCATTTGTCAGAGCCGTCTTTCATCATCGGGCTTCATTCCATTAAGGATTTAGTGAGTCAGAGCCATTCTGATTATGGTTCACAGACAGAACTATAATATTAATGCTATAAGGTACTATTCATTCAGTTGGCGTCATTCATTCACTCATTTATCATCTTTCACACAAAATAGGATATTTCACAGAGGCACTCACACACTCATGCAAAATGTCCGCACAGAAATACAAACACGATTACAGCTCCTCTCCACTTAGCGCTACTGCAGGCACATACAGTTATGTTGGGGAAAAATGGAAGTCACCCAGGAAGTATTTCATAAAACCTTATTTACTGTAGTTCTGTAGGGACACTGGCAGAGTATAGATCGATATGGGGCTCTCTTGGAAGCACAGTAATGTACATCCTGTATGTCTCACCAAGGTCCAAAAGTCTCTGTGAATCAGTATTAGCTCCACTATATGGCCACACAAAGAGCTTTACGCTAATGTGCACCATTAGCCCCTGTACTCTTTCACATCCTACTTTGCTATAAGCGTCTCAGCATCCTTGCTTTCATTATTAAGTAACAGAGAACCCTCTCCATTAGGCAATCTTTCTACCCTGCAATCCTCTCCAGCCATCCCTCTGCATTCCTCACATCTGACATTTAAAACCACTCCACTTTGGAATATTTCGTCACTTAACTGGACTCCTCTAATAAATCAGGTTAAGTACATCGTTTCAGTCTGTTTTTACAGCTTCACCGTTGCAAATTCAATTTTAAAATGTGCTTGTTTTGTCATCTAAGCTGAAACTGTTGTTCCTCAGGGTGAACGGATTGAAAAACTGAAATGTGGATTAAAGGTCCAGTGTTAAACATTCAAGAGGATCAATTGGCAGAAATTAGTGCTGTCAAACGATTAAAATATTCAATCGCGATTAATCGCATTAATGTCATAGTTAACTCACAATTAATCGCACATTTTAACTATTCTAAATGTCCCTTGATTTCTTTTTGTACCATTATTTTATTCTCATTTTAATGCTCTTATCAACATGGAAAAGTGTGCTTTGTGCAAATGTTGTTTTTATTGAAAAATCATCCATTGTCGCCTGGCTTTGACGAGGGGGCGGAGAATTCGCATCAGCTGTGTGCTTGGCCATCAAGTGGTATTTCAGACTGGACGTGCTGCGATGATAGATGCGACAAAACACACAGATCACTTTGGTCTTGTCAATGGAACCATTTAGCAACTTTTTAAAAGTAAACTTTCCATTCAGAATATTATTGGCATCCATTTCGGCGTCTCGCCCTCGCCATCCACTCAAAACGTAACGTCTACTACTCCGGTCTAGCTAGATCCGGTGTGGTGTTGTAGTTTTTCTAATGTTACTAGTTGTTGCAACAGCATGTGAAAAAAACCACAAAGTGTGCTAGGCCAAAAAGAACTTTAATCTTGCGATAAAAAAATTGACGCCATTAAAATGGGTTTGCGTTAACGCCATTCAATTCAAATTGCTGTTGCAGAAACTGTCTCTTCTCTCTGCCAATGTTTTGGTGTATTTTAGAATCTTGTTGTTATGTATTAGTCTCATTAAGTTATTGTTTTGGATTGATCTTGGTTATTTATATGGTTCTTGAAAGCTCTTGTGTTGTTGTGCTATTCAGCTATTTTTTATTTTCCAACTTACCTACACACATACAATCATATTGTTCCATTGCCCCCACACCAAAAAGAAAAGAGATTAATGTAAATGTTGTATGGCGTTATGTGTAATATCTTACATATCTTACGTATAATAATCTTTCTGTAATATCTATTTATTGAAGGAAGTTAGAAGCGGGCAACCAAGATGAAAAAATTACCTTGCTCATCCATACAGTAATTTCTCTCTTAATGGCAGTCTAAGCATCCATTTAACACCACACTTGTTATTTTGGTCTTTGACTTTTACTGTCTCCTCACATGTGTCAAATTATATTTCACCAATGCCATTTGCACCTTAACTAAATTTTCTCCAGCAACCCGCTCCATTAGAGCATTCACTTCCTTAATTGCCACTAGACTTACTCTCATCTCCCGGAAGCAACAAACCCCATCTGCCCTTACACCATGGATTAAATACACTACTACTACTATAAGTTTCGAAACAAGAAATATTAAACAATATTAGCTAGATTGCAAGAATTTAAGATTATCTGGACATCGTTTCTTCTCATCTCCTTTTTCCTTTTTTTCTTTTACCTCGATATAAACTCGAGTTACAGGCTCCTTTTGCTGCCATCGTAAAGAGGTGCATTTGTATAGATATTCTCAACCCTTTTCATTGATCAGAGGTTGGTACATGTTTTCTTTTACACATTCTGTATATTTTGTTTCATATGTAACTGTGTAATAAACAATATTGAAACCAATAAAAAATGCTAAGAGAAACATTGTGGGCACTGTTATTGAGCATTTGTGTTCACTCAGGAATTGGACTCACTGTGTGCTGAGGTCCACAAGGATCTCATTTGGCTTTCTCAATCAAGAAGAATGATGTAGGAAAATAAACAAGTGAAGAAAAAAATTGCATTGAACTTTTTTAGTGAGGAGTCTGACAAAAAGCTGATTCACTGTATCACAGTTTACAGACTAATTATTCTTTTTTCTTCTAATGAGGTGTTTGTGACTTATAGCTGCCTGTGAATAAACGGGGTATGGCAAATCACTTAACTGGGATTAGTATCGTAGTACAGAATGTTTTGATCAGATTAATTTATGTCATCAGTTTGAGGTTTATAAAAACTGCTGAATATCTAGGCAGAAAAAATAAACATTTTAAAGGTTGTGAACATCACCACCTTACACCAATGCTTTAGTACTCAAGTCTGGTCTCAGACTCAGGTACTAAAGCACCAGTGTGACTCAAGATGTTTGTTTCCATTGTTGTAGGCTCGTTGGTATTTATTTATTTTTTTTCTGAAGTAACTTCCTCCTTCAGAACCAAACCATTGATGAAGCGTACTTACAGGTATTGGTTTAATTCATAATCCATCTTGTATTGACACTGATGTTAAAAAAATCACTATATTCTGTCTCTCTCATTTTGGACTCGATCTTGACTTGGACTCAGACCTCTTTGGACTTGATCTTGACTAGACCTGGTCTGGTCTCCACCAACTTTTGCCAAAACTTTTGACTCGTCATTCAGTCATCTCCAACTTGAACTTATTTTTGTTTCTTTTCTGGAGTCAGATTGTATTCACATCACGGTTTCCTTGCCAAAGTGCACAAATATCAGCCGTACTTTGGCTCACTGTAAATGGCCTGGCAGAAGGCCCAGGAACTACATTACTGTGGTATTTAGACAGAACAGACACACTGACCTTCTCTCTGCTTGACAGAAAGGTTCTGTGACATTCAGCTGCATTGATCAGGTTATAGAAAAGTTAGCTACTCAATGTGAACCAGGTAAAGTAAATGATACCTTGCCTTTTGGTTGAAATAGACAGAGAGTCGATATGAGAAATGCAGATAGAGTGATAGGAATGTAGGAAGAAGGAAGATTTAAAAAAATAAGGGAAGGTGGAGCATAGGCTACATGTGGGGTTGGTCATAAGGTTTAGCCTGTTGATCACAGTTGCAGTCAGAGGAGCCCTAGGGAGCAGCTGACCTTTTGTGTGCATATAGCTTGTGTGTGTGTGCGTGTGTGTGGGGGAACACATTCGAGCTGAAGAGACTAAAGAGTCTACTTGACTTAACTGACCTTTCTTTTAAGGTCCATCCAGTGTGAATGCTATTTTTCTATCACAATCACATCAGGAGAGCAGGCATGTATGGTACTTTAGATGAGTTACAAATGTCATCAAAATGTTTCAAGGTTACTGGAATGACGTTTTTACAAGTAACATTACAGTCTGTCCAGAAATCTGTCCAGTTGATGAACTGATTTTGGCAATTTAGGGCAACAGAAACAAGTTGTGAACATAACACTGACATATCATCAGCTTTTAAGTTGATATGGTGTTAGCAAACAAACTAATTACACAATTTCCTAATTACACAGTCACCATGCACGGAGCAATTGATAAAAGTTCAATATTAAGTCTGCCTTTTAGTAGATATCTGGCTCTTTAGCTGCTAAATGCTTCACTGTGTTTTCAAGCTAGTTATGAATTTGCCTATCTGCTGTTTGTCGCTGGGCAAGTAGCATAAAGTGGGTATTTAAAAAATCTGTGGCTGGAAACGATAATGAGAGTGGTGAAAGTAAACAAAGACAATTGATTTGTGGCTCATAAAACCAAAACGATGAGTTGGAAGATGCTAAAATGTTCCCTGGAGCTGAGAAGAACTGCAGAGCCAAGTGATAATTCACCTTCACATGAACACAATTTTTCATTCAGTTATACAGTGTGCACTAACTTGTTTATTAAAGATATGAGTGGTAGAATTAGTCCATATTCATGTGGATAAAACAGAGCATAAATATTAGGCCTGCATGTTTATTCATATTGCAAGTGTGCTAACATTAACTTAGAAAATGCCTCAGTTTAAATATGTGATATCATAAATATCATGCTTTGATTAATGCAAGATTAAAAAATGTCAGCACTGGGGTCTAAGTTTTGTTGCATTCTGCTCACGACTACAAACAAAACATTAAAATTTTTGACTGCTGACACACTGTGGTACCAAGTTTGGTATCAAGTGAGCCATGCAGTGTTATTACAGCAGGAGTCCCAAGGGGAAAGATTCAACCAGGCTATCAGACATGCCATTACCGCAAATGTAGCTAAACTGTTTTGCTCTCTCAGGCCCTCTATAAAGGATTCCTGTAGTAATTGCTGTTTAGACTGGAAACACAGAACGAGCACAGGAAAATACAGGCTGCTAAGGGTTTCCATGTGGGTAAAGCTCACCTCACCTTTACAGGCATTCAGGAAGTAGAGTAGGCAGTGTGGATGTTCATCTGAAACGTGTAACGATGAACGGAAGGCAGAGCAAGAGAAACATAAAAGAGGAATTGCAAAAGGAGGCAGGATGGTGGAGTGATGCAGAGTGACAGAGAAAAAAAGAGGCAAAAGAAAAATTCATTATTTTCCAGCGTAGTCTGTTGGACGGCTGATAAGAGAGATCAATACCGGAGGAGATGCTCATCAGAATCACGCGTGTGTTGTGTGTGGTGGTCTTCTTATGGGCATGTGATCAGCCTGGAATTGGATGAAGCAAAATAAAGAAACGAATTAATTTAATAGAAAAAAAATATACATAGACTGGGCACAAAGGCAGACAAAGAAAACAAAAAGATGAATGGCGGAACAGAAACATACAGATGAATGGACTAACAGAAAAGGAGAACAAAGGAGATTTTAAAAAAAATGGGGTGACCGCGCTGGAGCTCATAACATTAACTGGATTGTAACAGCAAAAAAGGAAAATCATTTTCTTACAAAAAACACTAATTTGTAAAATTAGATTTTCTTAATGAGACAGATGCATGCTGGTCTAAGTATGCTAATGGAGCTTAGGGTCTGATTTTCATCACTCTGTGTGTTTCTGCAGAGACCCGGTTCCACCACACTTAAGCAGAATGACACGAGCAGGAAACACTATTAGCCGTCCAGACTCTGATGGTGATTGGGTTGTCAGACGAACCAGCGAAGCGGGATGTAAAGAAATACAGGTCAGAGCCTGAGACAAATAGAATTTTCCCTTCCTTTTACACTTGTCATTACGATTACATCTGGGACTTGAGGAGAAGTGTTATTACATCCAATCAGTTTAGAGACTTTTGGCAATGGGAGTAAATCCACTGGTGCAGCTGAGACACAACAGGACCCAGTGGGCTTGTTAAAGTTTAGAATGTGTTCTAAAGTATTTCACTTGTATCTCTTAAGTAATGACCTGTTTTAAAGTGCCTGCAATAATGTCACGCTTCCCGGTGCATTCTTTTTGCTTTTTTATATACTTGAGACCAAATGAGGCAGTGGTTAGGATGTTTTGGACTGGGAGGCAGCTGATCCGTAAGCTACACTGAGGCAGGGGATGGAAGCCGCAGAAGGTAATTTCAACTTCGTCCTTATCTAACTTCACACCTGGAAGCATGTACGTGGCAACGCTGCTCCCTCAGACATGGATTGGTTCTGACTGGGAACACCTGACTCACCAAAATGTGTGACAGTGTGAGCTGAGTGGAAGTCAGGCCAGGTTTCTAATGTTCCACAAGCTGCAGTGGTACAGGGTGTTTTAATAAAAACTACCGACTCTATTGTCTTTGTATTTATTAGTATAATTGTGAAATATTGACTTTATTCAAAGAAAGCCTGTGTAACTTTTGGTGGACAGCCATTGTAGCCCCAAGTGAGAATTACTGGATAATGGTAAATGCTGTAATATAATGTCATAGCATCACAAGTAGAAAGAGTCTTAAAGTCAACAAACTCACTCAGTACACAGTGATATTCATCTAAAGTTTGCCAACATTGGCCACCTTAAACCAAATAAGGTTGTAGTTGAAAACCTCAAGGGTATTTTATCGAGCAAGGATGCATTTTACTGCCTATGAATGAAACTTTTCATTTGTAAGAGGAAGATTGTGATATTTCTTTTTCCTGCTCTGCCTTTGCCACTCCCACACCATTCTGGTATTTTAGTCTTTTGACTCATGTGAGTGTTGACCTGTTTACTGAGCTCTAACACTTACACAGGCTAAATATAAGTTATTTATAATACCTTCATATAAACACCTTATATTTTATATTTATTCCATGATCACTGGGCAGACTCCCACCGGAGAGCTACTAAAGGGACCTTGAGGTGAGAGGTTTTGTCAACTTGAAGGCAAATTCCCTGAAAAGAGCTCAGAAAACATTCCATGTCAATGAGAAACTCCACCTGCTGAGGAAGACCATGTGACATGATTGAAAGCTGGAAGAACAGGCACTAAAATAGATCTTTTGTCAACAGTCAATCACTTATTTTCTATTGATGGCCAGGACTTTCTACAGTATTTCCAGTTTTCTGTTGTACCGCACTGATATATTTTGATATAGATTGCTCATATCATTTTCTTCATCTACTTTATTGTTTATTCAAGGTATTATTGTTTCATGTTGTTGTGATTTGACTCCTTTTTTGATTGCTTTTTGCAGCCCTTCTTTGAGGAAAAAGTTTTTTGCATTATAAGTTGAATGCCTCATAAAGATCTCTGTTCAAAATGTTGTATTCTTAATGCTGACAGTCTTTATTCAGCTCCACTGCGCCACATAGCAACACTTAACACATAATTATTTAAATGTCGTGAACATCGCACAGCAGCTCCTCTGATAGGTTGAGGTACACTGACCTTGCCAATATTGGTGCTTAATACATTCAAATGAATCTTGCAGTGTGCGTCCAGCCGTGCCCAATATGTCTCTGTCCCTGTCAGCCTCTGGGGCAGAAAATGGAGGTCAGAGCCAAATAGGATAAGGTCCTTGGCAGGAAATGTAATGGCAGGTGCAGTGAGCATTTCCTTAACTTTGCTCAGCCTCTCTTGAGACTTTGAATATTTCATCCTGGCTTTTGATTTCTCTTCTGTCAGATAAGACAACACTTGGGGCAGTTTGGCAAGGATATAAAAGAGGACGGACTAAGCACAATGCACTCTAAATGTCACACGTCAAACTTGCTCATCAGCTATGTCTGAGGAATGGGTTTGCACAATCAAAATGGTTGCAGAAATCTATGCTGATTGAAGTCTTTGTCTCCGTGCCAACAGCTGCTCACTTGCTGTGTTCGCACTGGATAAACCACAAGGTGCATATTCCATCACGCTCTGTGTTTTGGCAGATGTACACTATTAGATATCTTGAACTGATTATGCAACTACAGTGAGTTGTCATGCAGCAAGTTTCCATTACAGCAATACTCAAACAAGCCTTTACTCATATGTCTACAACTATTGTGCAAATGAGTGTAGAAGAAGAACAATTGGGGGTAAAAATGTGCTCAAATATTCATCCATTTTACTTTATTTCCATCATTTTCTTTCTCTCATACACACATGATAATATAAAGACTATAAGTTGGGCTTCTTTGGCTGAACTAATAGTTTTCCATTACATTAATAGGGTATATTTCACAAGTAATCAGGTGGAATGATGTGTCACATTTACAATTACTCTGAGTTACTCTGGATTTGTGAGTATACTTACTAAGCAACTCTGTGTTGGGGGAGCCTCTGTTGCTAAATGCAAAACTACATTTTACATTTAGTGTCACATCACAAATTGCAATCAATTAAAATAATTACTATATTTATTTTTTTTATGAGATAGTATCCAGGGTGTTGACAAGAACCTTAGATGAATAAGCATTATGTTTTGTTTAGCTGTGAATGTATTTTAATGATTGCTCCTTTCAGCTGGTTGTGATGATTTGTCAGGACGATGGGTATATTAACTGTTTGTTTTACAGGTCCTGTGATTTCCCAAGACAGAGAAGAATTAAATAATTTGTATGGGGAAGTTACATAGTCTTTCCAAGAACCTTCCTAAGAAATTATAGCATCACATCGTTTAATTTCTGGGAAACTATTTGAAAACTACCTGGAAAAGGTGTTTGACTGTTTTGTACATGCTGGGCTTCTTTGTTTACAACATATACAAAGAGAAATTGTGTCAGAGCTTCATAGCAACACACAAAGACGCCACCAAACCATACCTCACCTAATATCCTCTGATGGACCATAATGGACATCTACCAAGTTCATGGTGGACATTTATTCTCTGTCTTTTTAATAACATCCATTAGATTATTGCTACAGTCTTGGCAAACTCCTCTTTCTACAATTTTTAAGATGTTTGGCATCACAGCATAATTAACTTAACCTTTGGCTCCCTTTCTCCACGGCATATCCCTCCACCATCCTCCTCTGTCTGCTGCCTCTCCCAGTGCCTGCTTTGTCCTTGGCACTGTCACGCACATCCAGCTGTCTGTCTCAGCCTTTTTGGAGACACAAAATGACCATCTTGAAACAGTAATTTATTGTTTTTATGCTCCTGCCTTGTCTAACCTTCTCCTATTTTTGTCGTAATCAATGGCTTGTGAGTCACTTCACGACTGGCAGTCATTGTGGAAGAATATTTCATGCAAAATCTGAATTGCAATGGCAAACCCATAACCATGAAATATCAGTGTAGTCCATTATAGCTCTGCTCACTTTTAAATGATAATATATGATTTCCCTCTCAGCACTCTGCTGTATAACTGCAAAAACATTTTAAAAACATCATTCTGACTGTGATTTGGGGGCTTATGTTTCTTGTTTCCCTTGAAATGTCTAATTGAAACAGCAGTAATGTTATTACTATTTTTGGCATGGTAAATCTGTGCACATAATATTATTACCGCCTAGCACAAATCTACACTCTAAATGTTCCCATGGTTAGTCCGTGATTCCAAATAAGACAAATGTTATTTATTATTCTTAGTCTCGACCAAAACACACTCAGCTTTGCCAAAAAAAAGGTTTGTATTTCTATACCTTTATCCCGCGTGTGCTGGCAGGTCAGACCTGATCAGGGTCCAGAGGGGGGGCGGCGGGGGGAGGGAGGAACAGAAAGAGCGCGCTTGGGGACGGGAAGCTGCTCAGTGGTTTTGTGTGTGTGGTGCGCACCTCCCCTCTCCACGGCGCAGAAGAGCCTCCTCTCGCTTTACGCAGCCTGCCCTGCTTGCAATTCCTGCTCTTCATGCCAGAGCCTGCAGCTGTCTCTGTTGCGTCCCACTGCCGCTGTTGTGGGAAAATCGTCGCCCCCTTCATGACGAATCGACGGCCGAGTTCTTTTCCCCTTGAAGTGCCAGCGCAAACCTGAAGGATATCGCAACTTTTAAACAATTTCCAAAACTGTTAGGAGACTGAATGAAGACACCTGACAGCTCCTTAACGCCCCATCCGCGTGTTGACTGACATCTTTGCAACTGTGAAGGGTATAGGAATGTGGAATACAAGTCTATCTCAGCGGTGAGTGTTGTAATGCGTTTATCATTCCTCTCCGTGTTTGTGTGTGTGCACTGTTTGTTGGGCTGCACGTAGGCGTTTCGCAAAATTAAGTTTGGGCTTGAATGTGGAGTCTGTTCACGACTGGGTTTGAATGCAAACGTACTTTAAATTGAAACCACAACAGTTGTAACATATGGCAACATATCACTGATAAATCTAACTTCTTATTTTGAGTTTTAGACTGCATAAAAATACCAAATATCAGCTTAAACATCAAATATTTCCTCGTGTGTTAATCCCTCTCATACAGTAAAAGGACCTGCCTCTGCCCCTGACACCATGACCACAGACCTGAACTTGACCTCCCTGCTGAATGTCACAGATCTCCACAATCAGACAAGAGGATGTTCCCTCACCAAGACAGGTTTCCAGTTCTACTACCTGCCCACTGTTTACATCATGGTCTTCATCACGGGGCTGGTGGGCAACAGTCTTGCCATTTGGATGTTTGTGTGCCACATGAGACCCTGGAGCAGCATCTCCGTCTACATGTTCAACCTGGCCCTGGCTGACTTCTGCTACGTCCTCTCACTGCCCTTCCTCATCTTCTACTACTTCAACAAAACGGACTGGATATTTGGGGATCTGCTGTGCCGCCTCCAGCGTTTTATATTCCATGTGAATCTTTACGGGAGTATCCTGTTTCTGACCTGCATCAGCGTTCACAGGTACACTGGGGTCGTGCACCCGCTGAAGTCTCTGGGCCGTCTGAAGAAGAAAAATGCAGTTATTACCAGCGCGTTGGTGTGGGTGGTGGTTGTCATAGCTATCTCCCCCATCCTTTATTATTCCAGGACCGGCCTGAAGCGTAATGCAACCACTTGTTATGACACCACCACTGAGGATGAGTTACCCGGTTATTTTATCTACAGCATGACTTTGACTGTGTTTGGGTTCTGCATCCCCTTTATCATCATATTTTGTTGCTATGGCATGATCGTCAAAGCGCTAATCTACAATGACATGAACAACGCGCCCCTGCGGCAGAAATCTATCCACTTGGTCATCATCGTGCTTGCGGTCTTCGCCGTCTCCTACCTGCCTTTCCACGTGATGAAGAACCTCAACATGAGGGCCAGGCTGTACTTCCAGAGTCCTGACATGTGTGATTTTAATAACCGTGTCTACGCCACCTACCAGGTGACACGGGGGCTGGCCAGCCTCAACAGCTGCGTGGATCCTATTCTTTACTTCCTGGCCGGAGATACCTTCAGGAGGAAGCTGTCGAAGGCCACTAAAAAACCCTCCAGGAAGGGGGACAATGTCCTTCAGTCTAAGAGCGAGGAGACGGCGCTCAACAGCCTGGCTGAGTATGTGGAGAATGGGGACCGGAGGCTGTGACAGAGCACCTCTGTGGGCTTGGTCATGGGTGTGGATTTGTATTAGTTCAAGAAACCATGGTGGACTTCGTATTGAATGACTAAATGCACTGTGTGGACTGAAGGCTGTGTGTAAAATTGAATGGATGATCATAGAACTGTAGGATAAATGCTCCGTATTTAACCTTGTGATAACCATCGCTCACTTGCAGCTTGTCGATGTTGATAAGCTATTGTACTGTATTGTCCTGAACATGTATTGTACTAAATATTAGAGCCATCACTCTTCATTTTTATTGAGTAGTTAGTGTTGCTTACACTTTGGACAAAATGAACATTATGACCAGGCAAGCTGGGGGGAAATACGTTTCCCTACAAGCTATAATGTCCTGTTCATCAATTTGTTCCAGAAAAATAGGTCTGAGAATGGATAGCACCTTCTCTAGCCACCGAGCTGATGCTTAATCAATAGCTATTAAGCAGGTGAGAGCTCGTGGTTAAGGAAGTGTACCTGGACTGGCTTTTAGAGGAAAAAGTAAATGCACTGAACTTGAGATTGCTGCATGGATGTGCCATGTAGACACTGTAATGCACTATGACCGAGGAGTCTCTGCTCAGAGCGCTACCTATCACTCCTCATTTCTTTAACCATCTATTACTGACTGGGCGAGGAATGTGTTTGACTAGTTTTTCATTTTGACAGCTCTGAGGTTGAGGTCTGTAACAGCCCTCTTACCACAATCTTTCTCTCCTTGTTCCTTACAGAAAAAAACAAGAAGATAATACATACAGTATTTTTGTGTATACAATACAACAATGAATGTTTTTTTTTTTTTTTTTTTTTTTTTTTTAGGTGTACTGTACAGGATGTTGTGACGTTCCAGATTAGCTTGTGTTGTTAACTGTTTTTGTTCAAGTCAGTATCACTAATCCAGACCTTAAGTGCATGAGTCCAGCATCACGTACCATCAGTGAAACACTGACTAACCACGGCAGGTTCTAACTACTCAAGTGTTTCTTGCAACATAGGGAATACATAATAGCTTTCAAATAATGAGCAGAACACACACACACACACACACACACACTCAGTCACCTACTTTGTGACTCCATCAACATATTGAAGACTTGTTTGTATGAGATACCTCAAAGTAAATACTGCACTGTGTTCATGTTTTGACAGATAATCATTTGTCTTTTGTATCTGTAGTAATCACTCTGGAGAAATGATTATGGAGCTCTCTCTGTACATATTTTACCCTGGACTACGTAGATGTTTGATGTCTGTACTAATACCTTTGTAAATCTGTATGTGGTCGGCTATTTGTCAAGAAAGGAACTGAATCAAGTGGATATGTGGGGCCACGTGTATCTTTGTCAATAAATTTTTATATTTAAAACTTCCCAGACATTTTAGTGAGACTCACACAGTTCTTTGAAGATGGTGGGTAATATGATTTATAACATGCATGTCACCTTGTTTGTACCAGCTGCACGTGCTCATAGTTGTATGTGTGCGCTATTATGGGTGAACAAACACTGTTGGTTTTGGAGACATTCGTGCCGAGTCCTCTTGCCGTTCCTCCTCTGTCTCCGCGCTGCTGTTGACTTTATTTTTCAGCACAGCCAGGAGGAAGCGAGTGAACGAGGGAGGAATAAAGAGTGGCACCTTTTTCTCCCGGCTTGTCCTAAGACAGCTTTTGTGTCCGTCACAATGGTGCAGGGTTATTGATGCAGACGGGGGTGTGAGGTTGTTGCCAGGACCCCGGGGCTGCATAGTGTGGTGGGCACAGGAAACCAACCAACCCTCTTCCTCCAAACAGCCCCCCTGAATACAAACGGCTTTTGATTTCCTGGCTTTGAGGTGCAAACTGCATAGCTGGCCTTGGCAAATGTGTGTGTCTGTGTGTTCCTGTGTTAGAAAGCCCTAAAGGCAATGGAGACCTTTTCCGAGTAGGTGGTTTTAGCCATTATTTTTTTGTTAGTTATTGGTTATTTGTTGTCAAAAAGAGCCACTGTGACATGCATATGAACCACATTAGCATTAATATGTGCTTTGCGTACATGTGATTAGATGAAAGGAGGGTTATATTCAGCCAGCACTGAATCTAAAGCCAACATCAGTGCTTTTGAGCCAGAGTGTCAAATCTTGACTTGCAGAAAGTTGGGATGTTTGCCAGTATCTCCTCCCTCCCTTCACAGCCACCTTTCACCTATTTTCTCTCACATCCTCCTCTCTTTATTCTGAATCTAGAATTAAAAAAAAGCTTTTCTTCTCTGCATTTCACCACCTGCAGGGGAATACTGTTTGAATAAGTGTTGGGAAGAGACAGTTTGGTAACAGAGGAGAACAGAAGGAAGAGTTGAGTGCAAAGAGTAATGGCAGTGGTGGAGAACAAAGTTTGTGTGTGTTAGTGGCTGGGGAGGGGGCACAGGGTAATCACAGTCAGGATAGCTAAACTAAAATACTGAGTTTTGTTCTTGGAGATTTACAGTGGGAGCTGGCACAACCACATCCATCACAGGGGCACTCTCTGCTTGAGCCAAAAAAGTACCGCTAACCGCACAAAAACCAAACATAATCAACATGTCAGAGTGTGGTGCTTGGTGAGTGACCCCGTGATGTAAACAATCATGGAACAGCGTGATCACTGTGATGTGGTTCTGTTGCTAAATGTAACAGATCCATAGACACCATGTGACTGTGCTGCAAAAACCACACGAGGCAATATAAACTCCCGTACATGTAAATTCCCACACTGTTGCTCCATTATGGCGAATCATGCCATAACCTGCAACAATGAGATTTTTACTTTCTGATTTTACATGTCACGTAACACTTGGATATTGTTTTCGCGATGCACAGTACTTGGAGGAAAACATGCAGTGTTTAAGCAGAGCACAGTCAGTGTTTGTACACAACAGGATGCAGTTTTTCAAAAGAAGTCACACAAGCACGTTCACGTTTTCCAACTGTTGCTGTTAAGTAAACATGTTAGAAAAAATATTTTGTTCAGTTTCTCTTGGCTACAGCTCTGTACTACTGCTATGCTATGATATTAACATGTGTTTACTCGCTCTGATCAGGCTTCGACCTACCACCCAACCCGACACCAGAGCGCTCAGGGAGCGTTATTGCACTTATACAGTAATGCCAGACTGGACATATTGTGGACATAAGTTACTTTTTAAAATTAGAAAACACTTTCTTTCCATTAGCCATGTTTATGTCATCAAGCAGTCTGCTAGTAAGAGTAGATCCGAACTCAAAACACTGCTAGTCAGGTAAGTTGAGGTAAAGTTCACACCTCACCGACAGTCAAAATACTTGTGAAAGGATTCAGGCTGTTGATGCATGCCCAAATGCAAACAAGTATGCCTGTGTGTGTGTGTGTGTGTGTGTGTGTGTGTGTGTGTGTGTGTGTGTGTGTGTGTGTGTGTGTGTGTGTGTGCTGCACGCACTCCTTAATTGGTGGCACCTGCATTTTATTGTGACTGGTTGGCAAGTTGATAACTTAGACTGAGTCTTATCTGTAATGTGTGTGTAATGAATGACTCCATAGATAGACACACACACACACACACACACACACACACACACACACACACACACACACACACACACACACGCACACACACATTAACAGTCAAACAGTAATAACACAATTTTACAGGTTTGGTGAAAGGGTTATGGTTGGTCATATTATTGCAGTTGGACCTGATGTGTGTCTGAAGGTGGGATGACAAGTCTAGACTACACAGATGAATATATATTTATAATCATAATACATCCAAACCTGTCTTCCTAGTGTGTGTGTGTTATGTTTTCAACATTAATTTGAAACCAATGGTGGAAAAAAAATACATTTACTCAAGTGCCATACCTAAGTACAATTCTGAGATAATTTCAATATTAAAATGCTTTTTACATTTTACTGCCTCAGTAAAAACAATCCCAGTGTATTAGCTATAATATACCACTTAAAGGAGTCAATTTTGCCTACATAGTGAATGCTTTTTCATGTCATTTTATGTTTATGTGTTTTTACATTGTGATATTGCTAAGTAGGGGATCTTAATACCTCTTCAACCATTGGGGAGTAAGGAAGTATAAGCAATAAAGGCATTAAGCATGAAATATTAAACAGGTGGAATTATAACAAACACAAAGCAACAAAATAGAATTTAAAGAACAGAAATAACATCAACAAAAAAGCTATTTTTAAAAATATTTCAGTTGAATTAGATAATCAAATAATGAGCATCAATGAAGTGTTGTTTGTGTGTCTGAATCTACAGCGCCACTGTCCACAACAACACTGCCAAGATAAGAAAATATATATAGCCATGCAGCACGAATGATTGCCTATCAAAAATACAGATGACCTGGGGTTGTGACTGCTTGCAACAGTAAAAGCCATTTGAATTGTCTTCAGGGCAATATGTTTACTGTCACCTCTGGTGCTGGCCTACTTTGATCACATGAAAGGATTCTATGTTCATCATGTTGTCAGACATACGTATACACATGTTGGGGTGTTAAAGTGAAATATAGGACTTGATTTAACATTTGTATGGACAAGTAACAACTAAATTAAAGACATTTTCCTGTTACTGTACAGATGGAGTGAGCATAATGAGAATGGGAACTGTCATTATAAACTCTATGAGTTGCAGTGAAGTCATGCTTACGGCTTGGGCCGCTGCCAGTAACAATAATAACAGACTGGTATTGTATATATAACATGTTCAGGGATTAGATGGGACTGGAAGAACAAGTGGGAGAGGGTGTGTGTGTGTGAGAGAGAGCAAGGGCTGTCATATTTCGGCTGTCATAAGGTTTATGATCAATATCTCTGCAGCCGCTCCCGTCTGGCTTCTTGTTGATTTTCTGCAGCTTCTTGCCATTGTCATCGATCAACCTGAACGATTGGCTCACTGGCTGACTTCCACAAACCTACATCACGATGAGAACCACAATCATCCGATCAAGCAGTTCAACCCGGCACGAGAAGAAGATATCCGATAGTGAAAAAGTGGTTCAGAATTTCACATTATTTTGCCATTTTCATCCTGTAGGTTTCATACGATATACTGTTAATGCATTAAGCAAAGGCTGTTTCCCCTTTAACAGATATCAGAAGGTGTAGTTTTGCAAACAGACCGACACAGCTGGGTGACGAGAGCGTTGTCAGACGCAGTGTAGACGAGCTGGCCTGCCTGATAAGAGTTATGAGATAGTGAGTGTAGCTCTGAAATGAACTGAGGTTAAATAAAAGGGTGCCCGCTGCCTGGGAGGATAGGGAAGAGACAAGATAAGGCAAGGTGGGAGAACAAGGAGCTGAGAACTATGGCGATACTGAATGTGCTGTAGGCATATAAAAATGCTACAGGAGAAAGAGAAAAGAAGCACTGAGAAAAAAAGAGTAGAGATAAAAAATAAAAGGTCACATGAAAGTAGACTGGTAGCATTATTCTGTTCAGAATACATTTAGAATATACAGGGGTTAGTGAGGGATGAGGGAAGAAGAAGTAAAGCATGGATCGAGGTCCCAATAGTAAAATAGAGAGAACTTGTCTTAACACTACTAGTACTACTAAATACAATATGTTAGACCAATCACATCAATGACTGCACACGCTCCTGCATGTTCTGCTGCTCTCTCTTTGATTCATATCACTTCTCTGTCATCTAATATCCAGAGCTCTTTTGTCTACACATGGTAGAATTTGTTCATTTGTATGTCCAAATACACACTGTGAACACACAAGTGAAATATAACAAGATCAAGGGCCGTCATAATGAGGCCAAAGAGAAAACAGAATGGAAACATTTGTAATAAATTCTGAAACAAAACCCGCCCAACACAAAGTTAAAATGAATACCAAAGGCCTAACTGGAGGACCATGCTGTGAAGACAACTGTAATGAATGTTTCGAAAAGTATGAAACACAGTCCTTTTCAGTTTTGAGTTCCTCTCTGCCTGCAGCTTGTCTGCAAGTTGTGAAACTACTGTAAAGGGTGATGAGCTATACACTCCACTAAGAGACCAATGCTTTTATTAGCTGGCAACCCGTCAGTCTGCCCGCTGCCCTGCTGCAGGGTGGATGATAAATCTCTTAAGACCAAAGTTTATGTACTAGCAGATTACATCCACTGCTCCATATTCACAGTGTGTCGGTGAGTGGGGTTACAGAGGGTGGGAATAAACTTGTGTGTATAAAAGAGAAAGGATACAAGAGCTGTGCAACAAGCGGTGTGTAGGCATATCTATATATACAGCGTGTGAATAATGGAGGTATTGAACAAACATAGCCATGTATCACATCTAAATAAGGAGAAGGGTCATCTTTCGCCTTCGCAGGTTCACTCTTCCTCACCGCTTTTGGTTTGCTGTCATGCAGAGTC